TAAGATTCTATAAAGCTTACAAGGAACCCTGGTGGAATTGTGGATTACAAATTGGATTTCTATAACTGCAAAGTCAGCAGTTCGAATCCACCAGCCACTCCACAGGAGAAAGATAAGACTTTCTGCTCCTGTAAAAATGTACAGCCTCAGAAATGCTACATGGGGTCACTTTGAGTCAAACTGGGCTGATTGCAGTGTGCATGTAAAGCATACGACAGAGTACTCAAGAAAAAAGACTCATGCAAACGTATCTTTTTGGAAGGTTTTATATTTATCCACTTCAGGAATTAAATTTGGTATTTTAAATAGTTTTTATTTCCAATTTAAAGAACATGTCTCTCAGAAAAATAAGTACTCTTTGAGAGTTAATTTTTAAAAAGTCATTTTATTATGGAAAATTTCAAACATACAGAAAAGTAGAAAGAATGATAAAATGAGAACCTCAAACACCTACCACCTAGATTCAACAATGGATATTTTACCATATTTATTTATGTCTGTATATATTTGCATAACCATTTCAAAGTAAATTCACACACACAGCATGATACTTTAGTATTTAATACTTCAATATGTATTTTCTAAAACAAAGACCTTCTTCTATGTGGTGGTAGTATACCGTCAAGTCAGTTCTGACTTGTATAGGATTTCTATTTCTTATCCTATAAATCTTTATGGATGCAAAAAGCCTCATCTTTCTCCAGTGGAATGACTAGTACCATAGACTGCAAGAAGAATGAACAAATATGTATTGGAAGAATTCTCCTTACAAGCCAGGGTGATCAGACTTCATTTCTCATATTTTGGACATATTATCAGGAGGGTCTAGTCCTTGGAGAAGGATATTATGTTTGGTAAAGTGGAGGGTTGGAGAAAAAGAGGAAGACCCCCAACAAGATGGATTGGCACAGTGGCAGCAGCATACAAGAAGATACAAGAGGCCATTAAAGAGACAAAAAAGAAAGAAAAAATAAATGTTAGAAGAGACTCTCAAACTTACTCATGAGTGTAGAGAAGATAAAGCAAATGGAAGAAATGAGGAAGTTAAAGATCTGAACAGAAAATTGAGGGCAGATTGAGAAAACAAAGTCAAGTGTTATAATGAAATGTGCAAAGATCTGGAGGTAGAAAACTAACAGGGAAGCGCATGTTCACCATTTCTCAAGCAGAAAGAACTGAAAAAAAGTTTAAGACCCAGATTTCAATAATGACACACTCTATAGTCCTGATAAGGAGCTCTGGTAGTGTAGTGGTTACCTCAGGGTCAGCAGTTCGAAACTACCAGCTGTTCTGTGGTAGAAAGATGAGGCTTTCTGCTCCTGTAAAGATTTATAGCCTCAGAAACCCTGTACAGGGTCACTATGAGTCAGAACTGACTCTATGGCACATAACCACCACCACCACCACCACCATAGTCCTGATGTGTCACTGTGGGTTAATGCACCAAACTACAAAGTCAGTATGACCCACAAGGTCAGCAGCTCAAGTTCACCAGTCATTCCTCAGTAACTCTGTACAGGGTCGCTATGGGTTGGAACGACTTGACTTATCAGCAACTTATCAGCAACATAGGGAAAATATTGAATGATGCAGGAAGCAAAAAAGAAGATGGAGGAAATACACAGAGTCACCCATCCAAAAAGAATTAGTCAGCGTGCATCCATTTCAAATGGTAACATATGATCAACAACTGGTGGTTCTTTTGCACCTGATTCAAGCCATTGTATTTTCAACTGCCTCATATGCATATGAAAGTTTGTCCTTTTACAACTGTCTTATTATGCTCAGCATAATGTTTTCAAGGTTCACACAGGCTGTGGCATGTACCAGGACTTCATTTCTGTTTATGACTGAGTAAATTGCATACTCGCTTGATTCCATACTTTTCATTTCCACCACCAAGATTCATTTCCTTTCTGCCATTTTTATCTTCCTACCTGCATGCACACTTGCTGAAAGTGAAGAGGGCTTAAAATATTTACTGATGAAGATCAAAGAGCCAGCCTTTGGTATGGATTACATCTCAATGTCAAGAAAACAAAAATCCTCACCACTGGACCAATAAACAACATTCTTATCAATGGAGAAAAGATTGAAGTTGTCAAGGACTTCATTCTTCTTGGATCAACTATCAACACTCATGGAAGCAGTAGTCAAGAAATCAGATGACGTATTGCATTAGGCAAATCTTCTGCACAAGACCTTTTTAAAGTGTTGAAGAGCAAAGATGTCAGCTTGAGGACTAAGGTACACCTGACCCAAGCCATGGTATTTTCATTAACCTCATATGCATGTGAAAGCTGGACAATGAGTAAGGAAGACTGTAGAAGAATTGATGCTTTTGAGTTATGGTGTTGGAGGAGAATATTGAAAGTGCCATGGGCTGCCAAAAGAATCAATAGATCTGTTTTGGAAGAAGTGCAGCCAGAGTGCTCCTTGGAGGCCAGGATGGCCAAACTTCGCCTCTCATACTCTGGACATATTATAAGGAGGGACCAGTCACTGGAGAAGGATATCATGTTTGGTAAGGTGGAGAGTCAGAGAAGAAGAGGAAGACCCCCAACGAGATGGATTGGCCAAGTGGCAGTGTCGATGGACACAAACGTGGCAACAGAAGTGAGGTTGGCCCAGGATTGGGCAATGTTTCATTCTGCTGCGCATAAGGTCGCTATGAGTCAGTACCACCTCGATGGCACCTAACAACAACAACCAACCACTAAAGCCAATGATAAAGAGCTTAAGGAATTCTACCAACTTCTTTAGTCTGAAACTGATCATATATGCAATCAAGATGCACTGATAATCACTGGTGATTGGAATGTATAAGTTGAAAACAAAAAGAAGCATCAGTAGTTGAAAAATATGGCCTGAGTGATAGAAATGGAGACAGCATAATAGTTTTGCAAGACAAATGTCTTCTTCATTACAAATACCTTTTTTCAACAACATAAACAGTAAGTATACACATGGACCTCATCAAATGGAATACACAGAAATCAAATCAACTACATCTGTAGAAAGAAATGATGGAGAAGCTCAATAAAATTAGCCAAAACAAGACCAGGGACTGACTAAAACAAACTACGATTTGCTTATGTGCAAGATCAGGCTGAAGCTGAAGAAAAACAAAGCAAGCCCATAAGAGCCAAAATATGACCTTCAGTATATCCCACCTAAATTTAGAGACTGTCTCAAGAACAGTTTTGATGCATTGAGCATTAATGAGCGAAGATCAAAAGAGTTTGGAGATGACATCAGAACATCATACGTGAAGAAAACAAAGGGGTTTATAAAGAAAGGAAAGGAAGAATGATACTCTGAAACTTGTTCTTGAGTAGATGGAAGAAATGATGAATGAAGTAAAAGAGTGGAACAGAAAATTTCAAAGGTCAGCTCTAGAAGACAAAGTCAAGTATTATAATGAAATGTGCAAAGACCTGGAGTTAGAAACTTAAAAGAGAAGAACACGCCTAGCATTTCTCAAGCTGAGAGAACTGAAGGAAAAAATTCAAGCCTTGATTTGCCATATTGTAGGATTTTATGGGCAAAAATTAAAACAACTCAGGAAGTATCAAAAGAAGATGCAAAGAATACACAGTCAATTGTACAAAAATAATTGATCAATTACATCTGGAGGGCATTTTGCTGAATGAAATTGGTCAATCACAAATGGACAAATATTGTATGAGACCATTATTGTGAAAAGTCAGGAAAAGATTTTCATACTAAAAGAAACATTCTTTAATGGTTGCCAGGACTTGGGGAGGGGAAGGGTGTAAGTCACTGGCTAGAGAATAGACAAGTGTTCGTTTGAGTGCCCCGGAATCCACTACCATTGAGTTGATTCCAACTCATAGTGATTCTGTAATACAGTTTCTGAGGCAGTAAATTTTTACAGGAACAAGAAAGCCTTGCTTTTCTCCTGAGGAATGGCTGGTGGATTTGAACTGTTGACCTTGCAAGTTAGCAGTCCAGTGCTTATCCAAAGCACCAGTGGCTTCCAATATGAATGAAGGGGAAGGCAATATACAATAAGAGGGAGATTGTGAAAAAAAATTATGGAGGCAGAGGAAGACACTGGGAAGAGTGCAAGAGTTAAGTCAAGAGAGAGAGAGAATTGGTCAATGTTCAGGAATTTCAAGATGTAGCATATTATCAGGAACCGATGGTACTGAAAGTAGGAGTTCAAGCTGCACTGCAGGCATTTGCAAAAAAAAATAAGGCTCCTGGTATTCACTGAATACCAATTGAAATGTGTCAACAAACTGGTACAGCACTGGAAGCTCTCATTCGTCTATGCCAGGGGTGGGGAACCTTTCTTCTACCAAGAGCCATTTGGATATTTATAGCATCATTTAATTTATGTTGCTATGAAAAAAGCTCCTAGATTTATTAAATTTCGAATCCTGCATGCAGTTGCTTTGGCATGGCCAGACCACATGTATAAGCCTGCGTGCTGGATATATTCCCCACCCCCTGGTCTATGCCAAGAAATTTGGAATTTATTTAGCCAACCAACTGGAAAAAATCCACATTTGTGCTCTTTCCTAAGAAAGGTAACCCAACAGAATGTAGAAATTATTTAATAATAACATTGATATCACATACAAGTAAAATTGTGCTGAAGATAATTTTTTAAAAATGGTTGCAGCAGTACATTGATGAGAAACTGCCAGAAATTCAAACCACTTTCAGAAGAGAACATGGAATGAGGGATATCATTGCTGATATTAGATAGATCTTGGATGAAAGCAGAGAATACCAGAAAGATGCTTACTTGTACTTTATTGACTGTGAAAAGGCATTTGAAAAGGCAATCTTAACAAATT